ATTAATTCATATAGCTCATTTTCGAATCATTCTTGCAAGTTCATTAACAAATTGTCCTTTTGCTTTATACCAACGTCTTTGATTCAAGCTGCTTCCTTTAGGTAATCTCCCCTTTGCAGCTACATGGGGCACACACACACACACAAAATTAAAACACCAGAACAAGTTGGTCCACTGATGTTTTGCCTGCCAATCCAAAACTCACCCACTGTGCAGTGTTACGCTGAATGAGTGTGTGTGAGTAAGTGGTGTGTCTTCACATTAACCTTTAGCATGAAGAGAATTACTTTTAACAGTTTCACGATGCCATCATGATGTCATAAAGTCAATAATGAGCTTCAGAGAAAATGAAAATGGCTGAGACCCTGGACATGTTGGCTTCATCAAACCGTTTCAGAATGTGCTTTGTTGAAACTGTAATCATTCCTTTTTTTCCCCTTAACAACTCATTCTCATTTAACCCCTCACATTTTTTAACAGGGAAACAGTTAAGCAAGAGAGCCCAAAAAGAAACCCCTTTGTTGGAAAACACAATATGCAAGTATCCAGTGTTACTGAATCCCTCCCAACCTCTTTTCTAGCATTTTCTGTCCAGCTTGTAGTGCAGATGGATGCCTAACACTGACTGTAGAGACCTAGAGACATGAGTCATATAAGCTGCTCTTTCTTCTGTTCCTTTTTACTAATTGTCTATTTAGGTCTGACTCGACTGTTGCAGCTGTCACAGGCTCATTACCCAGTCAAGTCTCTCAAACTCTCTAAGAAGTTATTTTTGATATGTATAGTGATTTAATGTAAATGTCACCTGAGCAGTTGCTTCAACAGTCTAACAAACTAACTTGAAGGTCTTAAAATGTCAAATTAAACAAATTTGCAGACGTTTGGAGGCAATATGGGATGTTGCTGGCCACAATTTGATTGATTTAACCTCATCTGGCATGATGATGCTCAGTTCAGCCCAAGCATCCACACCCAAAGGGTCTTCAGACAACTAGCTTGTGTGCAGTGTTTCCTATTAGTCTGCCAAAAACTCTGTAATCAAATTGTAATTTCTATCGAGCGGCTTGCAGTTCTGAAATTGGCTGCCATGAGAGGATGTTCTCTCAGACATGAAAGGGCATCTTTTACAATTGCAATTTATGTCCTCAATATACTGTAGTGAGCAGCAACGGCTACTCTGCTACCTGTCTGTAACCTTGTGTGGACCCTGTGACACTGTGCCGGTTGCATTTATAATCACCTTAGTGACACCGCTGCATCTGCGTCAGGCCCAGAGTGTTGGACCTGCCTGTCAAATCTAAGGGCGAGTAATTACCGGCTGCAGTTCAGTCCTGGTGATTGGCAAGCACCACCCTACCAGCAAAGATAGTTTGTCTCCTGATCCGATGTGAATTCCTCGGATCCCTGCTATGCTAATTAAATATGACTCCACTGTAGGTGATGTTCTTGCAGAGAAACAGTGAGATGCTGAAATGGAGAAGTGAGGAGACCCTGCAAGACTAACTAACTGATTCATTTCCTTTTGAAGGGAAGACCAAAGGAGCCTTCTCTTTGCCGAAAGGAGCTCGAAATGTGTTTTTAAATGAAACGGAAGACTCTAGAAATGTACTTGGTGAGTCATGGTAGGTTTGTAAGCGGTGGACATCCCTGACAGAAGGCGACTTTGCTGCCCTATAGTCTGAAAAATCTGTTACTCAT